AGCCGGAGGAAATAAGGATGGGCCATGAAATTATTTTCATCAGTTTGGGTGAGTCATCAATTTGTTTTTTGCGCAAATGGATGGGCCATGAAACACATATATAGCCTGTTTGCACTCAATACATACTGTAACTAGTAATTTGATCAAAGTGACTGCTATACTGTACATATTCATGTATAGCAGGATGGGTCATGAAATTTTTCCAATGACCTACGATGGGCTTTGAATTTTTTTCTAGGTTCTCAGGATGGGCCACCGGTTTTTTTTTCTGGTAAACCTATTTTTCCCTCCGGCCCACCCTAGCAGTTACTTTATGACCGGTCCCTAACAGAGTTTGTTTGTTAAACAGTACCTGACGCAACTTGTGGAACCCTTGTATTACGTTTGTATATATTATATACCAATTAAATTGTTGTAGTCTGAATAGAAATCCAAGCTTCCTACTTGTTAATGTTGGCATGTGCTATGTTCTGACATTTTGAGGTTTGCCGATCCACGTCTCAAAAACACAGTTCGAGTTAAAGCCTTGCGCACACTAGCCTGCGCGCAGTCCCAGACTTCCTTTGGGAGTCTGGGCACACTTGTCACTCGTGACCAATTACGTGCGATAAAAAATCTAGTGTGTGGGGAAAATATTTTCCCGTTGACACAAGGATTTTTGTCGCACGTAATTGGTCACGAATGATATAAAGTGTGCGTGCAACTTGCTCTAGTGTCAAATCCAGGGGAAATTGGATTTAGTTCGAGTTAGCGCGGGGAGTTCAAGGGTGATCGCTAGATAGTATACTTCAAAATAAGGTTTCCGTTTTTATAACGTAGAAAAAACTATCCTAACGCAAAACTAAACCCTAACCCTAATACTACCTCACCCTAACCTCAACCTAACCCTAACCTAAACCCTAACCTAACCCTAACTTATTTTAAAAATTGATATAAAAATGGAAACCTTATTTTGAAGTATACTATCTAGCAATTGCCGGAGTTCAAGTTAAGCGAGTTTGAGTTAGCGGGGGGTCTACTGTATTTGCATTCAGCAAAACAAGCGGCAATAGCAACATACGAGCGTCATAAACTTCGTTTGTAAAGCTATATTTATACATCAACGCTATCAAATATTAGGGAGTTCAAGCTTCACGTTTTCGGGAACGGCAAACGGCAGGTTGGAACTTTCTTGGCAACATTTTCGTTGAACGGTATCGTTTCACATTTTCATTCTTGCGTCCAAAGAATAATGACATATTTTATTTTTGACCACTTTTAAAACACCAAATTCATTTCCTCTTTATTGCCTGATACCGTAAAATTTTTCTTTGCCTGGCGTTTGACGTATAACGCGAAGCTTATAAACTCTCTATTCAAGGAATCCGCTATTATCGCAATTCGCAAAATTTCTTACAAATACATTACGGCATTGGAAGAATGAAGGTTTATAAATCATGCACGCAATACGTTTACTTGTTTTTATCCTCGGGCAAAAAAGCACGTGTAATAATTGCCAGTTGACGTCAAAGTCGATCCTTCCCAAGTTCCTATCAGTACCAGGAGGATAAATTCTACTTATAGAGATTGTGCAATATATTAGCTGCTGTATAATTAATCCCAGCAGCTTTCATAAATTGCATTCAATTCTGTATCCAAAATATAGCCATTATAGGGTTTTACTGTAAATTGTCCAAACTATCCAGCATTGCCAAAACCAATGGCGAAAATCCAATCAACATATCTCTCCATAACGAACCCGCTGTCATATGTGGTGTCATACGTCTTAGTCTATGGTTAATTTCATTACTGTTAATTGTCTGAGAGCTTGAAATGCACTATGCTTTTGTCGAAAACCAGAGGAAGTTCGAGCCAGGTAAATGTGTTGGCCTGTTGGGTCTTTATCAATGAAATGCCAGTGTTTCTGCAAAATAGATCCTATATACGAGTGGTATTAGTGCTATTATAGTTAGTATTATAGTATACAGTTACAGTGCGTCTACTGTAAGTGGGGTCACTTAGAGAACACTAACCAATCGCATTGCAGAACAGAAAGAAAAATCTAATCAAACTAAAGCTCGTCCAATCAAAAGAAAGATTCAGGAAGCCATTAACTGCAATGTTTACTTTTACATGTCTATTTTTACCGTTTGACATTCGTTTATTTGTTCGAATTGTTTTTGCCCTAATGCTGATTGGCTAATGCGCCGTTTGTTGATTTTTTCACTTTCTGTTCTGCAATGTGATTGGTTAGTGTTCTCTAAGTGGCCCCACTTACAGTAGACGCACTGTAAACTTTAAACCTTAAACTCTAAGCGCGCAACGCGTAAGGGGAGCACAAGTTTCAAGTTGAATATTACAGCTATTTGTGAATGAATTGTTCTCGTAAGGAGATATTTACTATGTCTCCAAGAAATGGGCCCATATATGATTTCTGAACTGATTAAATTATGCTCCCATTATGCTTTGCACGCTTAGAGTTTAAGGTTTGCAAAAGACAACCTTTTTTGAATTAGCTGAATATGGGTGCTGATTACTATTGAGTTTATTAATAAGGCAAATAATAAGCATGGTTAGTAGAATTAACACCAAATTATTATTCTGATTTTCCCCAATTTAATAGATTGCTCTTAGCATACCCCTGTAATTAAATTAACAAGGATTTTTACGTCACTACGGTAACCTATCCCGTACAGTGTAATCTATATACATCATGTGATCGTCTGTCCACACTCATATGAAATTTCTACAAACTTAAATCTATGAGATAATCACCGAAACACAACCGTAGAGCGGTCCAAGGGGTATTTATATTGTGTGATCGTGCATAGTTAATAGAGGAGATGTCCTCTATTAACTATGGGTCGTGTAAGTGGTGCAGTTATTTGACCATGTAAGTGGTATAAGTGGTTTTGCGGTATCTTATATGACAAAAAACTTGTTAAGAACTGACTCTTTGTTTGTCAGGGTGGAATATAAATTGGTGCGGAAAGTGTAAATATTAGATTTCTTTAATTTTGCACATTGTTGATATATGAATAAAGAAATTCTAGTACCATATTGACAAGTGACAACTTCGAAAAACATTTGTCTTTTTAGCCAAAAGGGGGGCACGCTAACTGTATTCAATAAATTTCTGTGATAACATCGGGAGGGATAAAAGCAATCTGCCAAATGCTGTATATAGGATACCATAGACACCATATAAGCTCAGTTATTATTATTATATCATGTGTCCATAGTCATAAGTGTGATATATTTGTGAGGAAGCCATCACATGAAAGTGGAAATGAAAACCGTTAAGCTGGGAGACGCACGAAAATTTCGTTGCTAGCTATAATTTTTAGACGTGATGTTCCAAGGAAGTATAACAGGAAGTATAACAGGAGATTTTTTAGATAGATAGATAGATAGATAGATAGATAGATAGATAGATAGATAGATAGATAGATAGATAGATAGATAGATAGATAGATAAACTTTATTTATACACGCTAACCCCGTCAACCGAAGCTGATTTCCACGAGTGGCGTGTGCAAAAATAGAAAAAATTCCATAAAGAAGATATTAAGAGCTATTTACAAAAAAATTGGCAAAATACTGAATTATTTACATGATACGAACGTTATTAGAATATTTACAGGCACATCAATTTACTTATTACTCTATGTCAATTATGTGAACAGCGATTTTATTTCTAAAGGAAGAAAGATCGAGTTTTGCTTTCCCTAATTTCCTTTGGAATAGAATTCCAAAGGTATGCTCCGTCATACATGAAACTATTTTTCATATTGTTAGTACGCGGATTTGGTAAACTAAGACCACTGCGAGGTTTCTGCATGCATGTATTTTCTAGTTTAAATAAACCAGGATGTTTTTATGTGTCAAACACATGAAATTATTGACATTTAAGCTTAACTGTCTCACTTGATAATAAAATTGACCAAAGTTTTGGAAGCAAGAAACATTTTGTCAGTGCAATTAATACAGCAAGCTTTTTATTCCTCGCCCGCCTCGCTTGTCCGCCCACAGCACTCCTGTTCAGCTCCAGCCGGTATTTTCCAACAAACGCTACACTGAGCAATCCCTCTATTTTACTTCGTTTTATAGTGTCCCACTGTCCCGAACTAAGTCGACTGAGGCTGAACGCACGGGATATGACAGGAAAATAGAGGGATTGCTCGCAGTCTAAACAAACGCCTGCTACGCATATGCCACACAGGTGGAGGAAAACATTATCTGGACCTTTTCTTTTCGAGAAATGTGTCGATATTTATTTATTTATTAAGCTTTGCCGTCCAACAATGCTTAATTAAACAGTTACAAGAACAACGTGTTCTTATACATGACATATAATTGTGACCGTGACGACCAAATGGAAACTATATGCAAAACATATATTCGCCGGAACAGCATCTTCTAAACTCAAGATTCCAGTCAAAATATCACAAAATACCAACTCAATCTCTCTAATGATGCTTGTCACATTCCTTTTTCCTGTTTGTTCTCGAATATCTTTCATATATGTTCTTCGACATATGTTTTGTATTTATCTTCGAAATATGTTTTGTATTTAATAGAAAACATATTTCGAAGAACATATATGAAAGATATTCGAAAACAAACAGGAAAAAGCAATGTGACAAGCGTCATTGCATGGAGAGATTGAGTTGCTATTTTTATACAGATATAGCTATAGTGTGCAGCATGTTATCGGTTTTAACTATTAATATGTACTTTTTATACGGTATATAGAATTCTGATATTAAGTTGCTCATGTGACATGTATACGTATCGGGCATATACGCCACTGGCACTGATCTAATACTGATCATTGACATACGCACACATTGGCTTCGTGCATGCGCAACTGAGAACATTTACGTATACCCTCGACGAGGCTAGGCAGAAGAGGAATTCTGCAACTCCTTGACTCTTACGTACTTCCGCGACTTCCAGCCAATTCACGTCTCGTACTTTCGGCAATGACCAGTTACAACTTTTAAATTAGTCAGAGGTGACGTAAGCGGAGCCCCCTTGCATGCCAATTCAAACCTCTATTTAAAATGCGCTCCGAGTTGTTCGCGTAGTTTTAAATTGAAACCTTGCAGAGACGTTATGAAGACAAATTTTTAGAGTGAGCCAATATAGCAGCTTTCGGGAGAAATGTAAGTATACGTAAGTTAATATTTGGGTCATTTTTGCTCGGCTTACAATACTGTATAGTGTGGTATGATTTACAAAATATCTTCCCATGGCTTAGCTTACAGTAAGTTACGAATGATTTTCCCAGATAATGTTAGCTTGTAATAAATCACAAAATATTTTCCTATATAGTCTTTAGCTTAGATTCGTATCAAATTAATAAAATTTATTCCCCATAATGTTACCTTACGTAAATTTTGTTTACATATTACGATAATTTTTTTTCTCATTACGACATTAGTTTTAGCGCGAGTGTCTTTGCGTACAGGAGTATTATACTTTGAGGTATAATTTCGTTGTCAGGCTCTCGTTGTTCAGTACTAGCATTGTCAGGGGATTTTTTAACTATACTATTATAACCACTGTGGTATTTACCCCTGTATGGGTAGGCCCTTTGCTTAAAATCTAGTGAAGCAAGATTTTCAGGTGAGCTGGGCCCTTTTTCTATCATTAATAAAAAGGCTCATGCTCGTTGAGAAAGATGTATCTGCCTCAATGCTTTCTGCTTTCTCAATCTTATTAGTCAACACAGAATAGTCTTTATGTACGCTTAACTGGCATGGGATCGAAAAGCCTCATTGCTAAGAAGTTGCCCCAGTAGTTCAGTGTAATTTCTTAAGAAATGCCCTGAATATTGTAAATATACTAGTCTATCGTATTTACCCATAGGCCATATACGTATAGACCATATATAGTCAAACTTTGTATGCTTAGTAATCACATGTTTCTATTTTCCGTGGTTGCACGGACTCTATATGCAGTACTTAATTAATTTGGCTACTTTTAATACTTTCATTGACACTCTATAGAGACCATACAGTCTTGACTCAATACCGGAGAGTGGTGCATGTAATGCTTCAATTGATGTGCACTAAAATTTGTCCGTAATTATGAATGAAAACTGCAACGATAAAACGGGAGTTCTCGTGCTGACATGATACAAAATCTCAATAATCTCTGCTTTTTGCTATAGCCTTATTGAAAAACAACAGTGTTGAGATGTACCAAACCATGAACCGAGCAGCACTGCTTCTAGCTTCACTACAACTCTCCCTTGCTTACCACCTGCAGTTTTTCGTACCACTAAGTAACGAAGGCGTGAGTTGGGACGATACCGAATACGGTAAGAGCTACGCTCATGGACTGACTATTGCAATCGATGACGTTAATAACGACCCCACAATCCTTCCGGGCTTTAAATTGACGTACAGTTGGACCGACAGTACGGACAATGACGCAGTGTTACAAAAAATGTATAACAATGGCACGCATCATCTTTCAACGAAAAATGGATCTGTTGATGTGTTTATCGGGCCTGCATCCAAATGTCAAGCCCCTGCCAACGTTGCTGAAGCGTTGAATATACCAATGATATCTTATGTAAGTATGATACTAAGCTGGTTTTAAGCTGTGTTTCACTTTATTAATTTTTCTTACGTTATTTGGTTGATTAAATTTGTCAGCCAATCAGAAGCAGAACCGACCAATAAGTCGAGAATATCCAATCTTTTAACATGCACGATTTGGTTAAATTAATCTTCCTGGTCTGGTCACAATTCGTGTGTGGCGAAGTTTAATAAATAAATAAATAAATAAACATTTAATAAAAAATGCGCGTGATTTTAAAGAGCGCGTACACTATTTAGTACTAATTATATCATATATTTGACGCAAAACGGAAGAGGGGGTAGTTAATATTATATAATAAAATCGAATTGAATTGAAATAAATATTATTCTATGACGTTACCAATCATCGCTTGCACAATTAAGAAATTCGCACTTAAGATATACGAGTGGCAGGGTCACCACAACAGTATATACCAATTACTGTGGGCCCTTTATGAGTTGGTACATTAAATAAAGTTAGTTTAAGAATGCAATGCAATGCAATGCAATGCAATGCAATGCAATGCAATGCAGTAGGTCAGCGAGAGGCAGCGAAGTTGTGGCGGATGCCAAATTCAAACCTCGCTATTAGAAACAGCAAGAGATTGGACTAGTAGCAAGACTACAAGCCATATTACACTTTAGGCAGATAGATTTCCATGTCCGTGGATTTTCAGGTTCATTGTTTATGTTTAAAGCAGTACTGTAATATTCGAATATAATAAAGACTTAAATCTCTGATCATTAATATAAGCTTAAAGACTGATGTCTCAGTTCGTGTTGTCATCCTATTCCTAAGTACGGTTTTCTACAACGTTTCAGTCCAAAGCTTTCTTTATATAATACCCAGGGCTCATCACCTAGCAGAAATTCACTTTGTGTTAAAAATTTCCAGAATTTTGAGTTTGAATTAATCAGACCATGCTTGGTAGATATACAACTGGTTACAACTAGACACAACTAGAACTGCATGTTATAAATAATTTTAAAGCCCACAAAACACTGCGATACAAGAAAATGCTATCTAGTCCGAAGCCGTCAATCCTAGACATGTGGTCTTTGTTTTTTAAAATGTACGTTTGACAACCAGAGCCAAAAATGGATGGTTTTCTCCCTATGGCTATGTTGGAATGGTAAAAGGAATTTATATAAACTGGCACAAGTAAATTTCATGAACTAAAACTGTAGTTGCAGGAACACCAGACAAATGTTCTAGTAAAGAATCCTTATTACACTTCCCGAAGGGAAAGTGTATGTTGCGAAGGATGTTGCGAAGCAACATCTGTACATCTGTGAGTCTTTGTGGTTACTTGAGTGTGGGGCAGTCAAACAATGGGAAATGACCAGCCTGCTTTGCTCGCACTGTTTGCCTGCGAATCGGGCCTTTCAGAACCGGAAATCGGGCTGGAGCACGCGTTCGTTCTTTTGATTTGGCAAAAGAAGCACGACAAATGGCAAAATTCGCACGGTGCTCGTTTGCAAAAACAACTGTAAACTGCTCCAATTGTTTCTGTCATTTTCATCTCATCCGTGAGTCGGCCTTAACGGCCTTTGATTCTATTTTCGTCGAGAAAACGACCAGTGTTCACGGTGTTTATAGCCTGCGCGCAGACTATATATATATGTATATATATATCTATAATTTTATATATATATATATATATAATTTTATATATATATATATATATATAATTTTATATATATATATATATAATTTTATATATATATATATAATTTTATAGTCTGCGCGCAGGCTGCGGTGTTTACCGCTTACCAGTAATTAGTATGATTATACAGGGTGTCCCAAAAAAACGAAAACTATTGAAATCACTTTAATATTGTTAAATTTGAATGCCCTACCAAGTTTAGTTAAGAACATCTCCTTGTAAAGTGCGCGATTTTCTGCTCTTGGGAATTTAAAGCAGCTTCTTAAACTGTTTCTTTGTGCGTAAAATTTACTTATGTCAATCATTTATGCACTCGTGGGAACCAACAGAATGCTAATTCATTCAAATTCTAACAATTAAACGGTTGTTGGTGATTTCAATAGTTTTCGGGGTTTTTTTTGGACACCCTGTATAATTGTTCATCTTAATTAGTATTCTTTTGTAGTCGTATTTTAAGCTATTCAAAACATTCGTTGTCGTGTTTTATCAGAGTATAAAACGCTCGGCCTTGCGTTTTATATCTGATAAAACTCTCCTACTCGTGTTTTAAATAGTATACTATAGGCATACTTTTCTTCCATTCCTAGTATTGCTCCGAAGGCGGATATTTTATGAAACAAGAATACCCGCTGTTTATTCAAACTTATCAAAACACCAACAGTCAAGCAGCTTCAGCGTTGTTGTCCCTCTTGAAAAGCCAAGGCTGGATGAGAATCGGGGTCATTTACGAAGAAAGGAACGACTACTGGATACAATTCAAGAATACAATGTTGAAAAGAACTGATATTCATGTGGCGGCCAGCCACGAGGTACCGTTAGTACGCAAATTCAGCCAATTCGGAGAACGTTTTCTGGAATTTGAAGAAATGAAGCAACGAAATCAGTCGTTGGCTAAAGTACGTAAAGTGTTGACAGATATGGCACACGAGCAACGGATAAAAAGTAAGCTGGTTTCTGTATTGTATATACTTGTTATGTTATTGTTACTTATCAGTATAAATTTATTATTAGGGAAATTAGCGAGCTTAAGCAAGCAATATTTTTGTCAACCCAGACGTCAGATTGTCGAGGGGACTGCTTTCGAAACTGTGATTGTGTCAGACTGTCAGTTCGTGGTAATCTTGAATGTATATGACAAAGCATAAGTTTTCTTTTTTCCTTACACGAGCGCTATGAAGGGCGTCAATCTATCCCAAAAAGTGGGGGGCGCTAAAACCAACATCTCCTAGCATGTGCACATGACGTTACTCTCGACGAAGCCTAAAATGTCCTCACCCTTATTGTAATGCTAATAATCTATTAAATTAACCGTTTGCCTTATTTTGATGATAATCATATGTAAGGGAAACTCAGTTAAAATGCAATTATTTTTAAGTTTTTACAATTTTACATAATATATGCGATGTCAGTATTTGCTCCCAGCGACCGTACAGAAAGATCATACGTTGCACTTCTTCTTGTTAAATGTCTTCCTTTCAATCACAATTTTTGATGAACAGCATACCATGCATTAGGTTTTTAGATAACCACGAAACAAAATTTCAGTAAACATGTCAAAAAGTGGAGGGATAATTAGATATTCGTCCCCCCACTCCAAAAACTGAGGGGGACGCGTCCCCCCCCCATCCCCCCCCCCAGGATTGACGCCCATGAGCTATGATGCAAAATGCCGTCAACATTAGTTATACCAAATTTGGGTGACGTTCGTGTTGACAAAAACATCGCTTGCTTATTAAACTCACTGATATTAATGTTGTGTATTGTTCATTTTGTAATGCCCGTAGTAAATGTTGTTGTGTTTCTAATAATTATAATTTGCGACCTTTTTGGTTGTGTGTTTGTTCATAGTTAATACTATGGTTTGTTGAAGTTGAGTTGTTGTCTTTCTCCTTGCTGTTGTGCCGTTCAGTCACTCTACTGTAGTTGTTATTGTATGAGCATGCTGTATGCATGCATGCTGTATATGCATGTGTTGCTGTTGCAGCCGTTGTTGTTGTTGTTGTTGTTGTTGTTGTTGTTGTTGTTGTTGTTGTTGTTGTTGTTGTTGTTGTTGTTGTTGTTGTTGTTGTTGTTGTTGTTGTTGTTGTCGTCGTCGTCGTCGTCGTCGTCGTCGTCGTCGTCGTCGTCGTCGTCGTCGTCGTCGTCGTCGTCGTCGTCGTCGTCGTCGTCGTCGTCGTCGTCGTCGTCGTCGCCGTCGTCGT